TAATTTTTTGTTTTGTAATAATTTGACTCTAATAGAATTTGTGTTGTTAACGGTCTTTTTCACAGACATATTTCTGATTTTTCGAAATTTCATTGCACAACTCCACATCCATTATCTTCGATATTTTTACCTCTAGTTGGTGCACAGGAACATTTTGTCGTTCAACAAGAATACTTGCATTCTAACTCGGAGTAAATGGAGTAGTGATTTATTATTATTTCGTCGCTGAAGATGGTCTAAATTGCAGACCGAAACGTTTGACGGGGCATCTTAATGTTAATTTGTAAGATTATTAAAAAATTTTTTTCGCATTGTTAACTGCGTTTGACTCTTAATAGCCTTTAATTTATGTTTTATTTATTTGTTTTTAACAATAAAGAGTCCATAACTAGTTTATATAATTTTATTAAGAATTTATATATTACATTTGCAGATTTTTAATTGCGCACCGAATTTTTTTTAGACTTGAAACGCAACACTACTAAACTACCGCAATAATATCACGAGTTAAATTAATGAACAATTTAACAATTTTTGATGCTATTTGCACATCTTTAGATCGATCTTAATAATGTTGAATGACATATCAAAATCTGTAAATCGACGTAAATTATTAAATTTTTCATTGCGAAAAATATTACTTCGGCCGGGAGTCAAACCTGGATCTCTGGCATCGGTAAGTCCAAAGGATTAGGTCGCTTGCACGGAATGCCAGATACAGGTTCGATTTTCGGCCGAGGTAATATTTTTCGCAATGAAAAATGTAATGATTTACAGATTTAATATGCCGATTTACAGATTTTAATATGTCATTCAACATTATTAAGATCGATCTGAAGACACGTAAAGAGCATAAAAAATTGTTAAATTGTTAGTCAATTTAATAGCGCATTTCACTGGCAGAGCTAGTGCGCACTCAATGTACTTTAATGCCTTTGTACACAAATCGACATAGAAATATATGTTTAATAAAAATAAAAAAATGATTAAAACCATAAAATTTTTAATACATTTTATTATGTTATTTGACAAAATACACAATAAACATTTTATCAATTGAGATATCTCACTTTAATATCAGATTAGAGTAGTGTATAACGACTTTAATGTGCACTGAGTGCGCACTTGCTCTGCCAGTGAAATGCGCTATAACTCCTGATATTACTGAGGTAGTTTAGTAGTCTTGCATTTCAAGTCGGAAAATAATTCGGCGCGCAATTAAAAATCTACAAACGTAGTACATAAATTCACATACAATTAGGTATATAGAAGCACCCGAGATCTAGCTTGACCGTTACGGCATGTTCTCATCGGTATTCATTGGTTTTAAATTCTCACAGTCCAATAAGATTTGATATTATTTTTTATAATGGTGATACCCAATTATACTATATTTTAATAATGCAACGCAGTCGTTGGGTGAAACAACAATCGCCGACTACGTGATTAAATATGTGCTCACATATTTTTATGTTTCCGGTGTTTTTCATCCATCATCGCATAGAGCTTATTTCTATATTCGTCGACTGAGAGTTGCACATCGTCATTTAACAACGGTATAACACTGAAGCCCCTTTCCGGTTCATTTCCTTTTCTGTGAAAACTGTTAAAAAGGGAATTTAAAATATATTTTTTGATTCATTTTATTCATATATAATTATTTTTAATATATAATTACACCGCGCAACAAAATTAACGCAACACATATTTCACTATGCAAAAATAGGCAAACTTCAAGATAGAATAACTTTGTCAAAAATCATCGTATCGAGATGTTTAAAAAAGCATTTTACAGCTTGAAACTTCTACTTTTCAGATCACTACTTGAAAATGTGATCACACGGAGTTCCACGGGGCGGACAAAAAATTGTACGCAAATGCGATTTACATCATTCGAAAGTGCGAATCTTTACCTTTAATTTGCTTTTTTACGAAGCTCAATACGATTTTTTTTCACTGAGTTATTCTACGTTGAAGCAAAAATGACTTTTGCTGCAACCTTGAATAACTCGGTTTGACGCATTTTTACTTATATTTCTATAACTTCACGAAATATCAGTAAAATCGTTTTTTGAAGTACCAGTCTGAAAAGTAGAGATTTCAAGCTTTAAAATGTTTTTTTTAAACATCTCGATTCGATAATTTTTGACGAAGTTATTTTATCTTGAAGTTCGCGTGCAGCTACTGAACAAAATTAAAGTCACTTAAAATCAGTATTTAAAAGAACCAAATTCAAATTACACATATCTCCGCGAAGAATGGTCGCGAAGCAATGTACGAAAAAACTTTTTAAATCCATAACAAAGGCTATAGCGGGATAAGAAGGTCAAAACTGCCCTAGCCTGGATTATTATTTGGAATTGGCCATTTGATAGGGCATATTTAAAAATCTTCAACCCAAATTTCAGCCCCCTAGGTGATAATGGGTTGCTCCTACCGTGAAAAACGTGTTTTTTTAGAAAAAAATTTCTACTGCTCAACTGTTTTCTCCAAAAAATCTGAAAAAATTCATGAACGTGAGTTTTTGGGTAAGAAAACATCCTAATTTTTTTCAGATTTTTTTGATCAAAACTTCTGTAGCTATGAAAAATACATGAACTTTTCAATGATTTTTTAGGTTATGAAGGTCATATTTGGCCAAATTCTAAATAACATTCTCTGGTGTATTTTTTCACGTACTTTAAATAACATTCTCTGGTGTATTTTTTCACGTACTTCAGCATGCCGGTCTTAGAATTAACATTTTTGGACCGAAACATGTTCAAAATTTGATAAAAAACGATTTTTTCCGCATTTTTTCCATGTTATTGGCACATAACCTAAAAATTAAATAGTTCAATAGGTGATAGAAGACAGAAAAATACTCTAGAAATTTTCTAAACAGTAATTAATACGTTGAAAATGGCGAATAAGAGTCAAATTACAATTTAAAATCTGAATCTGATAATTTATTCTAATATTCTGTATTGCGAAGAATATCACGTAATTTTTGGCGTTTCGTCCCGGCTTCCACTACTGGACTCATCAGTAAGGTATTGTAATGGAAGCCTACCTTAGACGCCGGTGTAAGTTATTAAATCGAGATGCTATATAAAGAGATATACGCGTGTCTCAGCACTTGCGAGAATTTGCGAATATCGATAGACCTCTGATGGCGGGTCGACGTAGTAATATTCTTCGCAATATTTATCCAAGGTAAGAAATAACGTTCTATTAATATATGTAGTCCCCCCAAATTGCGCGCCGAACAATTGTCGGTCTTGCAACGCAAATCTAATAATCTGATTTTTAAATGTCCCCTCTTCTTAATTATTGCGCGCCGAAAGATTTTCGGTCTTGCAACGCAACTCTAATAATCTGAAATATCCCCCCTCCTAAATATTTGCGCGCCGAAGGATTTTCGGTCTTGAAACGCTATTATAAATGCTAAATCTAATTTTTACTTAATGAATAGACTAACAATTTACTACCCGCGTTGTTACAGCCCGCGGTTTGAAAACAAATAATTGAAGAATTAAAGGACTCTTTTATATAACAATAATTAATATGTTAGAAATGGCGAATAAGAGTCAAACTACGTCGACCCATCTGAGGTCTATCGATATTCGCAAATTCTCGCAAGTGCTGAGACACACGTATATCTCTTTATATAGTATCTCGATTTAATAACTTACACCGGCGTCTAAGGTAGGCTTCCATTACAATACCTTACTGATGAGTCCAGTAGTGGAAGCCGGGACGAAACTCCAAAAATTACGTGATATTCTTCGCAATATAGAATATTAGAATAAATTATCAGATTCAGATTTTAAATTGTAATTTGACTCTTATTCGCCATTTTTAACGTATTAATTATTGTTATATAAAAGAGTCCTTTAATTCTTCAATTATTTGTTTTCTAAACAGTTTTTAGAATTTAGTATTATTTTGCTGTAGCTACAAAAGGTCTGGTTCAGCCAACTTTAGGTGCAGGAAAACTTCATATTATTCGCTGAACACGCTAACATGAATATTTTTTCAACTGTACTTCAATATAAAATATTACAAATTGATATGCAGTTAGGCTGAGTACTATAACTGGGAGAAATATTTGATATTTTCAGTGATTTTTTAGGTTATGAAGGTCTATTTGGTTAACTTCTAAATAACCTCCTTTGTGTATTTTTTCTACTACTTTAGAATGTTGGTATTAGAAAAAATACACAAAAAAGGTTATTTAGAATCTACTTTAGAATGCTGGTATTAGAATTACCATTTTCGGATCAGAACATGCTCAGAATTTGCAAATTCATGATCATGTTGCACTCTATGATCAGTAATAACCGAACGTGTAGATGTGTTATGTGATCATAGAGTGCAACATGATCATGAATTTCTTTGGGATGAAGTGGAAATTCTTGATGAAGAACCGTGTTATAAAAAGCGTTTAGTATCTGAGATGTTGAATATTAAAAGACAGAATAACAGTCTTAACTTACAATCTGACACGATAG